GCTGCGGGTTCACGAAAAAAGATGTTCTACCTTTTTCCAGAGAAGGCGCCACTAGAAACAGGCGCCCACTCAAAGTGTATATGATAGATTGTGCAATATGTATTCTCTGGCAGGTCGATGACACATGAAGGGCCATGGAGTAATGGCCCTCAAGCAACCGGGGAAACGGACTATCGTCCTGCGCCGCATAGAGAACAGAAGCAGTACGCAGAGGTGCGAAGTTTTTATGCCTGCCTCACTAGCGCGTCGGCGCCCTCGTTTCTCCGGCGAGGCACGTGATGCCGGCTAAGCTTCGGCAGGTCGGACAACTTCAAAAAAACCTTTCGCGTCGCAACCGACCGACTCCTGCTCTTCATGGCCAGAGATGATATTTCATATTTGATAGGAAGAGTAATACGTGGCCTAGGCTGCGACTGATTACAACATAACCACTTTCTGAGGCCTGTTACATGCTCCTGTTCGGAACTACTACGCGGTTGTTGCGGCGTTGCGGCGTTGCGGCGTCGCGGCTTTGTCGCGGAAGCTGGACGCGGCCGTTGGATGACACCTGGGTGTTTCGCTGATTTGAAAAGCACGCGCAGGCCTGTGAGACGAGCACAGTGCCAGGGACGTATGGCGACTTCGAGACATCCGCTGTCGCTGCTTCAGATCATTCGCCGTTGAGATTTCGCACGTTTCAGCAAGCATCCCGTATGAGATGGATGGGGTGCGGCCACGAGGGTGCAGGGAACGTCCTATTCTTGTCATGTCTGTTTATGCCGTTTGCAATTTGTGTGTTTCCAGAAGATGGCCTTTTTGCCTGAGGATGCCAGGAAACAAAGCGTCTATGCATTCGGATTCATGCGGCAGGCGGCGCCGCGGCAGTTGCGTGGAATGGCCATGTTGGGTACTTTGGGCGTCTGAGCGTGCGTGCGAAGACATGTTCGGTCGGACACTGGACTGCGACGTGCGTGCTTCATGCTCTCGAGGTTCTCGACTCGGGTTTCCTGTCCTCTACGGCGGCTTTGCTCACTTTTGGCTGTACATGTGAGCAGAGTCATTCGGCCCGTGTGGCACGGCTGATAACGACGTCGAGTAGTAGTCAACATGATAGGTGAATACCAGGTTGCTTGCAGCCGCCACGACGCTTCGGCTAACAACTTCCTCAATATTATCACGACTCTCAATTTGCCGGTCCTGGACAAACTTTACGTCAATAGGCTACGTCAGTCTCAGTCATTCATGACAATTACCTGTTCGTCCACGCCCCATCTTGTGGTCGACGAGAACAATGAGCATTTCCATCTTCACGCGCGTCACTTTGAATTGCGATCTTCGTACCGACGCGCTCGTATGCCCAAGATCTGCGCTCAATCGGCGACTTTCCACACGTTGGGGAGCACAGTCACTAGCCGTCCAAGGTCGGTTTGTCCCGCAGCGTTGCCAGACCCTGGTGGGATGAGCACTTGTGGTCTTGTCTCGCCGAGTTGGGGAGATGTCGCCTGTCGATATCTCGTGTCATGACCAACGGAGGCCCTGCAGAAATTTCGATAACCAGCCAAGGCGCGACGTGCCGAGTGATTTGCGATGGATAGAAGCTGTCGAAACTTAACAGCATTGAATAACGCGGGTCTTATCCTTCCAAGGCTTGATGCTAACCACATTCACGATTGTTTCAGGGCGGGCTTATCGTATGCCGATATTGTTGATAGAATCCCACGTGTACCGGGCTCATCTTTAGATCCAGCCCGTAGCGGTGCAACCTCGACCGCCTGCTCTCAGGCCAGCTGCTTCGGCAATAGCCACGACGGCTCCAGAACGCGGAATATCGTGAGTTCCCACTTGCCGTCTCGACTAGACGAGACACATCTGCAGCCGATGCCTTTTCGCATCAGACACTGGCCTCAACAATATCCAGGCGGTGTCTTGCAGGAAGGGTCGCCCTGGCTGGACCATCACACCGCATAGCACATCGACATGCATTCAGCAACAAGCACCGAGCATCAGTGTGGGGAAGTATTCCAGAAGCCACATGGTCAGGGACCAGTCGTGCGGGCTCTCGGGAGATTACAAACGAGCTTGACCCTGCTTCAGCATAACGCGAATTTCGTTAGAAGAATGTCTGACCGTGCTTGAGACCCCGACGCGGTGGGCTCAGCGATCTGCCAGCTGCCTTATCGGGGTGACATAGCCGTTGTCATTGCCTCTTCGGCTATGGCGACTTGTTGACGAGGTTTCACAATTCCAGAAAGACAACTTTCTCAGTATCAGTGCCTTGGTAATGGTACGTCAGATTTTCCAAGCGGTCAGGGAGACACCTTGTGCGCATCATACCAACGGAAACACCTTTGCAAATACTCATGAGTGCATCAAGCCATCAATGGCTCCGGAAGCCACACTTCGTTTCTAACGCGTAAAAGTAACATTGACCCGCGGCATGACGGAACAAACGCAGGAACATGAGTGGCACGGTGTACTAGCTTTTGTCATTGGTCAAGCCGGCACACATGGCTGTACTTCCGATAGACGTGCTAGCGAGTCAAAGTACACCATCGCGATAGTCAAACCATGGGCGAGCGGGATGGAAGCCCCAACCCCGCCAGGCTGGAAAACTTCCTCGAGAGGTCGAAGATCAGGTCCTCGTGAGTCTCGGCCAATGACAAGGCTGACGGAGTGGAGAGAGAGTCAAGTGGGACAATTCTATGGAAGCCATGCGTCGTTCCCCGGCGCCGAAGCTATGGCATGACCACGCCGCACACGCTAACTGATGGCCCACACCGCGGAAGAGCCCTTCTTCAACTTGAGTCGCATCAAGACCCTGTTGAGTCGTAAGGGAGCCCCGCTGATGTGGCCTTCTAGAAATTGCGTCGTCTTCACATGTAACAGCGAGCATAACGATGGATGTAGAGGCGATTACAGAACGAAAATCCCACGAAATTCTTTTCTTAGGGTCACGATAAGCCCGCGTGTTGTTTTGGGTTTTACTTACCGTTTGTTCCTGCATTGTACCTGCAGTAGACGCTATTCTCGATCAATAAGCTCTGCAGTCAATGTGGGGGATGACGGCCAGGCGGATGCCATCGGCCCTGTTCGAGTTGACCAACGCTTGTCACGCGAAAGACACGCCGCTTTTACGAGTAAGCCACTTAGGCCTCGCCGGCGGCTTCATAACTTTGCACCCGCAGCATTCGATAGCTCGTTTCTATTTGTGCCGAATCTTATACGAGGCACGAACATGCACAACTCTTACCGCGGCGGAAGTGTAAATGATGAGGCATCCACCTTTATCGGCGTCATAACCAGCCAACAGCACCCATTATCGATACGTAGATTAGAGGAGCTTGCATCCTCTGGTACACCACCAAGGTCGGTTGCTGCACGAGTGGCGACCGAAGTGGCAGCCCAACTTCTGAAACACACTTGCAAGATGGATTAAGGCCGCATGTGCAGGTATATGACCATGCATCCCACCAACCCAGTTCTCTTGACACCCTTCGAAGAAGAATGGTATCGGTGGCGACTTGCAGCTCACTGCACATGAGTATGTCGCACCATTAAGAATAGCCGTCTTTTGGACCACTGGGAGGGCGCGGATCCTAGGGCCTTCAGCTGGCGGGCAAATCACGCCCAACTGGGATCATGTTCTTGCATCATGGCTTACGTTCTCACGTTCCTGCGTCAGCCCGGCATGTCGAGTCTTGCTCCAGTGTTGCGCGATGTTTATGTGGCAATGGGTAGCCTTCCTGTTTTCGCTACCGGTTATCTCACGCGACACACTCCTACAACTTTAGGACCTGCATCGTCGGTGGAGTTGTTGAAGATATCGTGAGACACATCGCTCCTACACTTCTGCATCGCAGGGAGGCGTCGCGAGCTTTGTGGTGTGCTACCGGCATTAACGCCAGGCTACAGCACGTCCAAAAGCACTCAATCGACAACCACATCAGCTTCTGTGGTGTTGCTTCTGTGATGCCTGAGGGTGGCACCGCAGGCGTTACGGCGTTGTCGTGCGTGACATATTCAGTGGAGCGCGCAGCGTCATCACGATCACGAAGAGCGGGAGAGACGCGACGCTGTATGGATGTTTCAAAACATAGTTCAACCGGCAGGGTCTGGCAGCTATCATTATCGATTGGCAGATAGGATGATAGGCTGAATGATGCCCGGGCGCGCTAACTTCGAGGCGAGTTGGAGCGTCGTCTGGAGAGGCACTCCGTGGTGTGGTTTGTCAGACGAGACGCAAGACACACCACTTATCGGCAGTATCACCGTCCGCTACCCATCACTCGCTGTTCTGAACAACAACCATACCGTGGCGAGGCTCAGTTGCCTTCAGCTATTGTCTCTCCTCCATTCGGAGAGGGCGGTATAAACCCACTAGGTAGGCAGTGTGGCAGGCTCTACATCCCACCATGTGCTGTGCTGGCGACGTAGCCAATACCTTGAAGCCTGCCGGAGCCGCCGCGCACATCTCATTTCGCGTATAGTCCCATGCAGCTATGCATTGGGCGAATAATTTTAGGCCCATAAACCCATGCATTAATGCACTCGCTGCTTTTGACGCGAGTCAAGGCTAGGGTCTAACGCAGGATCCCATACCCTAGCAGGCTTGTGGAGCTGCGCTGCGCCCCGGCGCACTAGAGCGAGCCGTCCTTCTCTGTGCGCTCATCAGTTCTCTTTTTCACTGGCCTGCCCTTGATCAAGGTTCATCAACCACGTCCCTCTCGTTTCTTTCCGCCGTCGCCGTTCAGGTTTTCATCTTGGGTCTCATAATTTTGTGCCCTCACACTCTTTGATCTTCATTATCTATCTTAGTGACAGTTTCGTTATTACGAACTGGCCCACAGTCATTCCTTCGACACTCTCTTATACTGTCCAGCATCCTGCCTTCAAGTACAACTAATTTGTCCTCGACATCACTCGATATCACACTATCATCGACATACCTAACCAACAACCAACAACGTTAACAACGACGACAACTACTACTATACTGAAGTAAAGACACACCAATACACGCAATGGACGGCTCATATCCCATCCATCCTACCCAAGCTATGCAATCACCATTCTTCTACTACAACCCGGACCCTCAGGGCGAGAACACACGCCAACACGGCCACTTCACACCCCACCCATCTGGACAGGCTACCTTCCAAGCACAAAACATGTACTACCAGAGGCCAACATCGGCATGCTCTCAGATGTCCTACCCTCAGACAGCCTACGCCAACCAGATGCTTACTCCAGTCGCATCACCTCAGCCAATGTACCAGAAGCCCACAATCTTGATCCAACCTCAAGATTCGCCATACCTTCACCCCATTGACACCGACTACTCGTTCTCACCTGCTACACCTCCTCTTTCATCATGCGGTAGCAACACCAGCAGCCCTCCCTCTACATACGATGTCCTTCCTACACCGCTGCACGACATGTTCTCTGCTGAGGGCATTGAGGGTGTCAAGCAAGGCTGCGAAGGCGAGGTCTTTTCTGAGCTTCTGTCCGCTGGTCTCGAATGGCGTTCAGCTTCCCCACCCATGACTCCAGGTATGTATTTTCTACTATTAATCTCGTCTTGTCTTATGCAAGCGATGTCGTTGCTCTGGCTTCGCGTCGACAAATTATCACGTGAGTGCGTGGACGGTGTTGCTAACTCCTTCAAGTTTACATCCAGCCTCCGTCGGCTAGCCAGGGGTCTTACCTTCTGTCTGCAACTTCATGCCCCTCGCTCTCCCCATCACCATCACCAGTACCCCGCGCTGCATTTGCTGAAGCCGAGAACAACTTCTGCAACCCCCGCGATCTCACCGTCTCTGCCACTACTGAGCTCCCCATTGTCACACTTTGCCCTGGCGACGAAGAGCACAAGGTTGTCCTTAAGGGTGAGACTGCCCAGGTTGACAGCTTCGAGTCTGCTCAGTCCTTCAACATTACTGGCCTTCCACTTTCGAGCCCCTGTTTGAGCTTGACTGCGAAGACGACTTCACCGGCCTTGTCAACTTCTCCACCGACAGCGTCCACTTCCTCGGCAACAAGCGCCAGCGCACTGACCTTGGTGCCTTCTCACCTGAGGAGGACTTCCTAAGCGACGAGAGCTTCACAGACTTTGAGGAGGAGCTTGTTCACGGTCTGCCCCTTACCCCTGCCGCCAGCGACTTCGACATGTCCGCCGCTCCTAAGAGGCGAACAGTCAAGAAGGCTCGCTCAGAGTTCAGCGAGACTGAGTCCGACTACCAGGGTAAGCAACAGACATCAGGTGATGATAACACCATGTCTGGAGCATCAAGCCAACAAGAATCAGGTCAAGCCGAGAACGCTGTCGGCTCCAGCTCAGACGAACACGCCACTCCTGTCGCACCTACCAGCCGTCGCGGTCGCAAGCAGTCGCTCACCGACGACCCTTCCAAGACCTTTGTCTGCACACTCTGCTCGCGCCGCTTCCGTCGTCAAGAACACCTCAAGCGTCACTACCGCTCTCTCCACACTCACGACAAGCCCTTTGAGTGCACCGACTGCGGTAAGAAGTTCTCCAGGAGCGACAACCTCTCCCAGCACCAGCGCACCCACGGTACTGGCGCTGTCAGCCTCGAGGTCATGGGCTCCGACTTCCATCACTCTGACATGCAGCATGGTCAATCTGGTGCGTTCGGCGCACAGGCGCCTTCCACCATGGGTGAGATCCTCTACAACGCTGCTGCCGAGATCTCCACCTCAAGCTCAGATGGATCAGAGAACGAGTCGTCGCCCAGCCAGAAGAAGCGCAAAAGGAACGAGTAAATGTTCTTTTCTACCACACTTCTCCTTTCAACTCTTAACGACCCTTCATGACATCCACAACACCCGGTAGAAGGATTATACATCATGCCATACGGCTGCTCGTCCACCCTCACGACACGGCTAGACAGGCGGCACAGGTTCACATTAGCGGTTCGATCTTGCATAATCTGCAGCGAAAACTCTACGCTTCCCTTCTACCACTGTATTCTACACACTCAATCTCGCTGTACAAACATTCGAGATTGGCATTTTTGGTTTCGCGTTCAGCACTGCACACCTGGGTTTTGGGGCGGAGATTGGTAACCACTGGCAGACGGATAGAACTGGTGTTTTTCTTGGTTTCACTCTTACGACGACATGGCCATTACCCTACACCGGCCACTGTCGCCGCGTTACCCCCTTGTTTATCTTGCGCTTCCTACGCTCGTTGTAATTGGGCAGCTACATTTTAGCGCCCTCCAACATTCTGAGAATCTTCGCTTCTTTCTCACAACACATGTAATCGTCAGTCTTTGCAATTTGCTCAGCAATGTTTTTTCTGCGCAGCCAATTGTAGGTTAGAGGTGCTGGCACTGTTCGACTATTACACAAAAACACGTTATTACATACATACTTCCGATGCCTTCCCTGCATGTGACTACTGTGCCATCCATGCGAGCCGCGCGTTGTACGTATCGTTGCTTTTGGATGATCTGCGATGAGTTGCAGGACGGGACCCTGATACCGGAAAACACTATCGCGCTCGTCCCAAATCCCCACAGATGAACCTAGCGTGTGCAGACCTTTAGCGAGACCCAATCCACCTGCGTCTGTATCATGCAACGAGCGGCACCGGGCCGCCTCAACTCCTTCATTGCTTCTCTCAGACGGTCGCCCGTTTCGAATCATTCTTTTTACCATGTCGGCGTCATTGAACGTAATTGCTTTAATCTCCGGAGGCAAAGACTCGCTCTTCTCCATTCTCCACTGTCAAGCAAACGGCCACACCGTCGTAGCACTGGCCAATTTGCACCCAGCGCTTTCCACCAATGACGACGAAGAAGACATCAATAGCTACATGTACCAGACCGTGGGGCATTCGGTCATCCCACTCTATGAAGAAGCGCTAGGAATCCCGCTCTATCGACAAGAGATCAAGGGTACCGCAGTGGACTCGAGTCGAGACTACGCGACACCTTTGCAAAAGCAAGAGCAGGATGAAACTGAAGACTTGGTTCCGCTGTTGAGAAGGGTCCTAGAAGCACATCCTGAGGCCAACGCTGTGTCTACAGGGGCTATCCTGAGCACATATCAACGCACGCGTGTGGAGTCTGTAGCGGTCAGGCTGGGGCTTATGCCGCTATCGTATCTATGGCAGTATCCTTTGTTGCCACCCTACACACAGTCGTCACTCTTGCATGATATGACGGCTGTAGGGCAAAAAGCAATTATCATTAAGACAGCGTCAGGTGGTCTGGATGAGGACTTTTTTGGGTCTCGATGTCGCTAATTACAAGACTATAGCTAGGGTGGCCAAGGCCATGGGACGCTATGGTGACGCTGGCGACGGCGCGATACTAGGTGAGGGGGGGTGAGTTTGAGACGTTGGCTTTGGACGGACCCAGATCGCTCTGGAAGAAGAGGATCAGGATCGAAAATGGACCACCTGGGAAGCTGGAGGGTGGCCAAGCAGTGCTAAAGATTAAGAACAGCACGCTTGAGGAGAAGGGTGCAGATGAAGAGGCTGCTGCTGGGCCACTAAGAATACCGGAGCTTTTGGACGAGGAGTTCACGAAGTTGCTAGCAGCCACAGATGCCAGCAATGAGGGTAGGCAAGGTGTGCCCACTGACACAGGGTCTATCGTCCAGTCTCTTGGGCCTGTCTCTCAAGCGGGCATCCCATCAGTAGTAGATCGGCTATCCTGGAATACATACAGTGATACTTCGACAGTCTTCACATACTCCAATCTAGTAAGCGATGCCTGCACCGCGTCCTCATCCGAGTCCCCATCCCGCCAGCTCTCCAAGATCTTCCTCCGTCTCGACCACATCCTGAAGCAATGCCGTATTCCCAAGAGCAGCGTCAACCACTGCACACTACTGCTCCGTGACATGGCGGATTTTACAGTTCTCAACCCAATCTACGCGCAATACTTCAGCAGCGTGAATCCACCAGCCAGAGCCACCATAGCAGTTGGGGACACAATGCCAAAGGGCATAAATGCCATGCTGAGCGTAGTCGTGGACAAAGACGAAAGAGATCAAGATGGAGAGGTCCTAAGACCAGTGAAGAGACAAGGACTCCACGTACAAGGACGAAGCTACTGGGCACCAGCAAACATCGGACCCTACAGCCAAGCCATCTCCGTACGCCTGCCTACAAGTAATGAGCTCAACGAAAACAACGCCCAGAACAGCGGAGAAGTCGTGTACGTAGCTGGTCAGATCCCCCTAATGCCCGCATCCATGGACGTGTACAAAGAACATGGTTTTAGAGGTCAAGCAGTCCTCTCCCTCCAACATCTTTGGCGCATCGGCCGCACAAAAGGAGTGAAATGGTGGCCGGCAGCCGTAGGTTTCATTCCCGCATCCGAACACGCGGAAGAGTCTGTACGAGTGGCACAAGAAGTCTGGAGAGCGACCCACACACCTCCCTCCTCAGCTGATAACGATGACAACGACGAAGAGGACGAAGACGCGGACATAGACCCCTGGGACCGCTTGAATCAACACCACACCTCGACATTCAAAGATTCCACTTATCGCTCTCCCATCCCCGATCACTCTGCGATTTCTACCCTCCAGATTCAAGGCCAAGACCAAACCACAGGCGCGAATATGAGCGAAACACGAACGCTGATACCACCGTGTTTCATCGCTCAAGTATCTTCTTTACCGCGTGGTGTAGATATAGAATGGAGCGCTACGGGTCTAACTTCCTCTTCCATGGCATATTGGCGCAACCCCACGACCCCACATTCCACGACGACAACGCCGCGGGATGCTCGATCGAGGTTCTTCACCCTCGAGTTGAGGGATGAGGGGGACGTGGAGTGGCTGGGGAAGCAAAGGTGGACGAGTGCTACGTTGTATGTTGGAAGGGGGTTTGAGTGGTTTGGCAAAGAGGGCGTAGATATGAAGATGGAAGGTGTGCAGTGGATTCCTTGTCAGAGGGTTTGGGGCGAGGATGGGAGGGAGGCTTGTGCGGTTTTCGTAGGGAGAGTTGATGGGTGAATGTATGTTTGTTACAAGGACAAGCATCAAGTCATTCGGAGGGGTTATGAGTTGTATGAATCGATCGTAATTGCTTCTGTAGCTATGTCATATCCCAACTACCGTCTTCCAATCATCAAGTCATCTCAGATGGTATAACAGCTTTTCCCCGACGTGCCCAGTCTCCGTAACGCCATGTAAATGCCCGATATCGCCGTTGCCATTGCTTGGCTAACTATGCAAGACTTCTCGCTTGTTGTATTGCCTAGAACCTCTCCTTCATGCGTCCTGCGACTGTTCGTAGGTTGCCATACACCTTGCTTGGTTGTTGACCAAGGATCAAGCTGACGATGGCTTCGCGCGCGATGTGGATGTTCTTGAATCCGCCGAGGATGTGGATCTTCTGGTCTGCTAGGACGACTGGGAATTGTAAGTAATTTGAACAGCTGGGTTGTGATGATCACGCCGCTGGACGTACCTCGTGTTCTGCTGGCATTCTCGATTGCGAACTTCGTCTTGCCGTCCTTGCCTGCAATTCGTCCGATTGCACGGCCGAGATGCTCACCCTGTAGGGTCTTGACATCCTTGATCTCGAAGGTTTCAATGTAAAGATCGTCCAATCGAAGCAGCTATGAATTCGTCAGTCCTGCACTCCCAGGTCATCATGTCCAGCCATGCCAAGCACAACTTGAGTGATTGTGCAAAGCATGTGTAGGGCTGCGCGCGTCCACTCACCGCAATAGCGTCGTCCGTGTCAAAGCCCAGGGTGAATGCCTTTACAAAGTCCTCTCCCTTCTGGAGCGCACCCGTATCGGTTGTAGCGTTTGAAGTGCGCAGCTCGACAGCCTTTGCCTTTGTGTTCATCCTGACCTGCAGTTTGAGGTGCTCAACAAGCGGAGGGTAGATCTTGGGCCACGAGTTCTTGAGCGGTGTCATCCTGTGGGGTGGAATCGGCACCTTGCGCTGCTCTCGGCGGAAAGCGAGCGGTATCGACTTGGCTGCGGGGAACTTGGGCTTTCCGCTCTCGTCTGTCATGGGCATGTCGTCTGTGGGTGCTGGGGCGTCGTGCGCAGCCTCAACCGGGTCAAGGCTCATGGAGATGAGGTCGCCGTCGCTTTCGGTCGGGAGGGGAACAGAGGAAGCCTCCATGGTGACATCGTCGGCGAAGTCTTCGGGCCTGCGCTGGAGGGCTGTAGGTGCTGGCATATTGGCTATGGTATGCGATGGGTACGCGGGCGTAGATGTTGAGATTCGAGCCTAAGCGGTGTGCGCGGAGAGACTTGGGACGAATGGAGGCCGGTCGGGTCGGTGTGCGATTATTTTCCTCCTCTTCTTGCGGTCGTCGTAAATAAAGCGTGAGGCGTGAGGAGGGTCGAATTGGCTATCGATTCGCAACAATGTGGGGCTTCTCGAGAAATTTGGAGAGGCGAAAGACGGTGGTAGACCCGAAGCGTACTAGCGCCTGTCACTCGACCTTCTTTTTGCATGTGCATGGGTAATGACGTGAATCTTGCCTGTATTCCAACCAGCCGCCTGCGTTTCCTACACCGCAAACCTCAGACCTTCTCCCCCGCAGACACGTTCGCACATCCCCTCGCTTGCGAACGTCGACCATGTACCCGCCGCGGTTATCATGAACAAGAATGTAGGAACGCTCGGCTTCCTGTGGCGCGCCGTCGCTGGCCAGCCGCTGACACACGGCGGTGTGCTTCCGCGGGAAGTACTGGGAATATGGGCACAGTCGCAGTCGGCATGGAGGGCAGGCATTCAGAAACGGACGATTGGGTCAGACTCCCGTGTCTTTGGCCTGTCGACAACTACGAGTTTGCCCTCGATTACGCGCTCACCGTATCCTGGACAGACTCCCACTTGCCTGCTCCGAGCGTCGTCACCCCGCACTGGTCGTTTTCAGCAAAGTGTGACTAGCACTGTCCTCTCGGCATGGAGCAGAAATGCATCGTCCAAGGCATCCAGGGCGTTGAGGAAGAGCAGAGGCAGCGACCGACGCAACAAAAGCTCGGTGACGAATGGCTCATCCAAGAACAAGCGCGAACCCACGGGTCAAACACCGCAAGCCCAGCTATCTCCCCAGCCGGACTCGCCTCCCAAAGCCTCAAAGACGCCTCCAAACCCAAAGCCCGAAGCAGCGAGTGCTGCAAAGCCCCTCCTCGACCGTCTGCCGCACCACCTCCCCCACATATACCGCCCGAGCAAAGCCGAACTACTCGAGGCAGCATCAGGCTTCTGGTCGCGGATAAAGATCCACTTCAAGTGGCTTACCATCCGAAGCACCCGTCCGTTCAATGCCGATGAGATATACGCATTGTTCTCATGGATCATCGCGGCGCACTTTGCATGGATCGTGTTGGGAACTACAACCTTTTTCATGTTGACCATCTTCTTGGTCAACACGGCCTTCTCACAGGAGACGATTGCCAAGTTCATCGGAAACTACTTGACAAAGTCTTCTGGCATTAAAGTTGTCTTCGAGACTGCTGTAGTACCCAAGTGGGGAGATGGTGTTATTTCTTTCCGCAACGTCTTCGTCTCGCGACGCCCAGGTCAAGGCAAGGGCAAGGTCAGCAAAGGTTCGCAAACGGAGATGGCTGCTGCCGCTGCTACCATAACCCACCAGGAGAAGGACGCTCAAGACGGAGTCGAAGAGAAGGTGGAACCGGAGGAAGATACCAACTACACCCAGTTCGATATCTCTATCGATACCGTCAACGTCACACTATCCTTCTCCAAATGGTTCAACGGAAAGGGCTTGCTGAAGGATGTCGAAATCAAGGGCATTCGTGGCGTGGTAGACCGGACATCCGTGAAGACAATCGAAGGTGTGGATCCCAGGTCATACAAGCACGAGCACAACCCGGGTGACTTCGAATTGGAATCCTTCAAGATGGAAGATCTCCTGGTAACTATCTACCAGCCCAACGACTTCCGCCCATTCTCTGTCAGCATCTTCTCCTGCGACCTCCCCCAGCTGCGAAAGCAATGGCTGTTCTACGACTTCCTCTCTGCCAACATGATGTCCGGATCTTTTGACAACTCACTCTTTACGATACATCCTCGACAGACACACAACTACACTGGCACGCAGTTGAGCAGCGGCCGGGATAGTGAAGACGGCAAAGCCTGGAAGAAGCACAGCCGCATTCGCATCGACGGCCTTAACATCGACCATCTCAACAGAGGCTTCGAGGGCCCCTTCTCATGGATCCACGAAGGCAATGTAGACATCGTAGCAGATGTCATGTTCCCTAGCGACGACGACGATAGCATTGCAAAGGTCATGTCCGACATGTACGACCGCGTTGAAGCGACCGTTATCCAGCAACGCAAACATCATTTCTCCGATCACGCTGTACACGGCTTCGATGAGCACCACGAAGACAAGTCACATTCTCAGGAGGAGACAGAGGAAGACAAGCGTTACATGATCATGGACATGCGTGTGCATCTCAATGACGTGCGCGCTGCGGTCCCAATCTTCACCCGAGATATTTCTTATGTGAACAACGCGCTCGTACGACCTATCGTGGCTTACATGAACTCGAGCCGCACCTTCATTCCAGTGAATTGCAGGGTTGTAAAGAGGGTTAGTGAGTTCGATGGCAGCTGGACCCTCTATGATAGCGGGTTAATGGAGGAGGTGTCAAAGGAGGTAAGTCTTATATCCGCTTTCTGACCGCCTTTACGAAAGTGAGTACTAATACATGTTTAGATGTACGATGCATTTGCCCGCGACGTCCTCGAAGATCGAACCACACGTAAACGACGCATAAAGAAAGTGGGCATTTGGACGCTGCAACTCGCAGCCCAAGCCCTCTTCCTTGGTCTCGCCGGCAACATTGCATAAAGATACCCTGATGGATTGGATGAAACACACGAATCTCTTCTTTCTGTAATATACATGGCAAAGCACGGCGTTTGGCGCATAAACATACACGATTGATGTGGTTGGATTGGGTGGATGAATGAATGAATGAAACGGAATGTTCAACAAACTTGTGTGTTACTGTAGCGGTTGCCTATGATGAAATGATAGACGTTTTGTTCCTACTTCGTGCATGACAATCGGTCCGAGTTCGTTGTCCAAAACTTTCTACTCGGCGGATTACACAGACGCTGGAGATCAGTGGGACGGCCCTCTTTGCGGGGGGTTTAGTGGAGCTGTCGCTGGACGTCGCGTCTTGCCCTCACATCTGTTCGTTATCAGAAGCCATGCAATACATGCTCTAAACGGCTAACGGGAAGGCTGCCGGGCGTTCAACAGTGTTAAAGAGGTCAGACATCTGTCGCATCGCCTTCCTGACGCGGCATACTGCTCACCGAAATCACCGGAGCATATATTGACTTACATCGCTGGGTACCACATCCGGAGGTCTCAGCTGCTCATACTGATTCAGGGTCTAAGAATCCACAGCAATGTCGCTTTGAACTAGCTCTGGGACGACATTGCATACTAGGCCCGCGACGCAAACGTCGGACGAACGTGGACGCACCACACCACACGACTGACGCAATGCCAGGTGCCTGGAGCCAGGTCAATGGAATCTATCTCGACAAAGAACAAGACAGTCTCCACCAAAAAGCAATATCGCTTCACGCATTGTCGAACTTAAGAAGACGACCCTCCGACCCTCCGCGCGCTCCTCCAGCCAAGGAACTCGGGGCATGACACCAATTCGCGGGCGCTGTCAAGCTCACCGTGCCAGCCAACAAGCTTTCACGAAGCCTCCCCATGCTCTGGCTACCGTTCACCGTCTACGCCATCTTATTGGCGCAAAATCCTACAATGCCGTAGATCCGTTGCTAATGGCTCGAACAGTTTAGCCGATCCGCGGACATAACGCCTAGTAAGGCGTGGAGATAGGGTCAATACGCTGCATACGGTTCTAACACCGCCTGCCGTCTTTGCAGCCCTCGTTTGTAAAGTTTAGGCGTGCAGCCCTTTTATGTGCGGAGGGTCGTAGATTCTGTTCTCCGTGATTGCGACGACGTAAGCCTGTCTTCGT